CTTCAGCTTATCTTAACCCAATGCAATGAGCAACGACCTTTTAGTTTTATAATACCAATAGAGTACCACATGCCTTGCATGTGCATTTTCATAAATTTTAAATTTTAATGATTATCATCATATTAAAGCAAAAAGAGGTCACTTATTATAGTAAAATTTATGAATAATTCTCCAGCGTAGTTAACATACAAAAGTTGAGAAAGAATTGATGTTAAAAAAAAAAAGAAAAAAGCCCAATATCCTAAGTAAAAATAAGGCCTTGTTCATTTTGCTTTTGGCCATTTATCCGGGTAAATGCATCTATATGTATTCTCTTATTTTATAGCTAAGTGAGATAAATGATTATTTTAGGATTAAAAAGAGAGAATTAGAAGGGACAATATATATTATCCCATCATGTCTCAGTAACTTTCTCCCCGGTGAAAAAATTACTTATTTGGTTATTTTTATGTAAGAAGATAAATATCAGTTACTAAGGAAAAGTAATTTTTCCATAGGTCCTATCAAAATCCATGAAAAACACAGAGAAATATCGGATTCCCATCGACCAACTCCCCCCGGGAAACAAATGGGACCTAAGATATACACATAATGAAGATTATAATTTAGTTAATTAATTAGAATTTCAATCCCTTGGTGGGCTTTTGCTATATCTACCTAAAAATTATTCATTTTTTCTTCAAATAACCAGTGAAAGTGGACAGTTAACTACATCCCCCTCCCCCCTACTTGTCATTTATTCTTGGTAACGAAACAGGTGGTGAGAACATGCAAACATGGTATGAGGAACATAATTCTAGTTTATCAATGCTAAAATTTACATATTTTGCAATAGGCATTTCTGAACATCAACATTCTAGAATGATGATAGTTGTTTGGATTTTTTTTTTTTTGTACAAAAAGAAGAGAGCACCCGGTGTTTTAAAAGGCATGCGAGGCATATGCCTGGAAGTGCGCCTCCAAGCAATGTGCTCCCAAAATGCCTTGAGGCGTATGCCTCATACGCTTTTTTCATAAGGCGTGCTAGAAGCATACGCTTCATGTGCTTCACACAAACATACAAAAAGACAAAAAAATAAAGAAAAAAATAAGTTTAGGTTATGTTTGGTTTGAAGGAAAAAGTAGGGAAAGGAAGGAAAACCTTTACAAATCTTGTATAGGTTTCCTTGCATTGGAGATGGTCATGACTCTTTTGCTAGGAAGAGGAGTAATTTAATATTATTTATTAATTATTTTAATTAATCATTTTTTTAATTTTATGTTTTTTATTATTTTATAATTTTTTTCTATAGTATCGCATTCTTTTAATTATTTTGTTTTTATTATTTAAATAAAGGTTTAAGGGGTAAATTTGTAAAATGTATATTTAATTAGACGTCACAGCATTCAGATTATGGAATTACTTCACTACATTCAGATGTTCGTAAAAAAAAAAAAAAAGCACAAATTTCTCTTGAATTGCTTTCCGAGCTTTTTCAGAGATATTTTTACTTTTCAAACTCCAAACTTCAGATTTACTAAGTTGCACGCTTCATTTAAAATGACACATSGGTAGAATAAAATTAAACAAAAAAGTTGCATCGTATTCAAGTGAGATTTCAGTAGAAACTCACATGTTATTAATTAAAGAGCTGAAATATGATTACTATATTCAACCAAGCATCATTTCAAGCAGCTTTTACTGCCTTGTATTGAGAATATCTCCTTACTTGTATGCTTTATTTCATGGGGAGATATTCCCAATGCAAGATTGCAAAAGGCTGTTAGAATAATGTGAGCACAGATTTGCCTTGATAGAAGCCGATCTCCATCATTTCATTCTCCCTTCTCTCACAAAATGGTCACTTTGACATTTTTCTTTCTTTAAGCAGGTTACTTGGACATTTCTTCCAGAAATTTCTTTACAAGTCTTCCTTATTTTTTCCTTTTTAATTTTTTTTGAAGCCATCATTTTAAAATTCGAAATCATATATATATATATATATACATCTTCTTATATATTTCATTAAAAGTATAATGAACGCCCATAAACTCAAAACTAATGGTAAAAGCTTTTATATTCATCAGTTGCTTAATTTGAKCAGTTCTGAACTTATAAATTTAAAATCTAATCAAATCAAGCATTGATATCATATCATTTTGAATTCCAGGTTTTTGTTTTGACGATTTTGATTGAAATAGATAAATGGCATTGTTGTAAAGTGGATTTCTACTTTGGCATGTTTCAGGTAGAAACATCAATATTTAAAATCGTGGTGTGGACTGTGGAGCACAAAACACAAAATCTGAATTATGTCATAGTCATATCATAGTCAAACATGGGTATACATGTACATGGATATAGATCTTAAAATCTTGTGAGCAGAGGAAAGAATGATTCTCAATCAATATTAGTTCCTATTAGCTATATATTTTGCTCATTCTTTAAAAGAAAGCAAAGGGAACTTCCTTTTAAGTAGAGGTGGAAGAATGAAGTGTGACAATTATATCCAAACAACAACTTGTACATGAATGGGACCGAACCCTAGCTAGATGCACCACACAATAAGCAAAAAAAAATTACACATCCCATATCATTGAATTTAACCGACTATATTCATATAACCCTTCTTTTATGCTATCCAAATGTTAAATGTAGCTTTGCGTGGTGGACAGCCGGTATTAATCATCATACATAGCCCAACACAGAAGTTTAAGACAGATCTGTTTCTACTTTAAGTTAGATAAACTCATTTTTCATCGTGGGAAATAAGGTTTCTAAAACAGATGGTTCGTTCTGATAAAAATTAAAATTAAAAAAAATAATAAAAAATAGTCAAAACCATTGGACAGTTTGAATGGTTCAATCGCCCAAATCAATAGTTTATTGACCAAATCAAGGGTTTTTGGAAAAATAATGGTTTTTGGATAAAACGGAACCAATCACCTGATAAGCCATAGTGGAAAATATATACAAAAGGGGACCACCAACTTTCTCTTTCTCTTTCTCTTTCTGATAAGCCAAACAGATCCAAAGAGTTGAGAGTGGTGCACTAACTCAAGTGTTCAACTTGTATCATTGTATGAACTATGTGGCCATCGAGGGACCACATCTTTGGACACAAGATCTCGGAAGCACATGGTTAGTTTGACTAGAATTAATTAAGAACTAACAAAGAAGCTAGAGACTATTTTTTGGGGTTTAATAAACCCTAAATCAAATACTTAATAGGTCTCCGACTCTCCGTAGTCTATATGCCGTACATATCACGGAAGTGGAGTACCGTTCCCTTACCTCCTGCAACTCAACGATGCCGGTTCCCAGTATAAACAATTCCCTTGTATAAATTTTTGGGGTTTAATAAACCCTAAATCAAATACTTAGTTTTAGGTTCTTTGATTTTTTCTATTCTTTCTTCAAACATTTTATATAAATTTTCTTCATTCCACTTGCTTCAATGTGTTAAACTTAAACATATATCTGGTAGATAGAACTACTCACTCCATCCAATCAGATTCTTTTTACCCAGGAAGGTGCCGGCCAAGCAAATTGGCAGCAATCGCGATTCGCGAGCCTCCCAATGTCAACTCTCAAGTATGAACATCGAAATTTTCACAAATAAAAAGAAATGTATTAACTTGGAATTTAGCTTAGCTTTTTTCTATATCATATTTTATGCTGTGTTGTGTTGGTACAAGTTCAGTTGGGCTAATTCTCTGGTGATGATAAATTTTAGACGATCCATGAAAGATCCACATGGTGGCTGAAGTTTTGACCCAAAAAACCTCACATGTTCTCCGCTTCATACGCTTCCATTCCTATGGTCAAGTCAATTTAAACTTCTTTTTTTTTATTTCTTAAGCTTAGTGATGCATCGATTTTTGGGAGTGATGGCCAATTTTTTTGGTAAGTAACTCGTCATTTGGTCTGCTTCCAAGGGGCCGATGACTCAGGCCAAAGTGAACTTTGGCTGTCGAGCTGAGTCGAGCTAGGCAGGTTAGGTGGCGAGCTGACTATAGTGTCGAGCTGACCAGGTGCCGAGCTTCCTGTAAGGTGTCGGGCTGACCAGGTGTCGAGCTGCCTATGAGGTGCTGGGTTGACCAAGTGCCGAGCTACCTGTGAGGTGCCGAGCTGACCAGGTGCCGAGCTGCTTGTGTGACTAGGTGCCGAGCTGCCTGTGATGTGTTGGGCTGACCAGGTGCCGAGCTGGATTGATGAGCTTCATTGCTCTTTAGAGACCTGCAAGGAACCAAATGTCAAAGGACCCGGGGTGGCTAACTCGGCAAGGTCACTCCAATGCTTAAGTCAGTACTCTCATAGTAGACTATGAACTAAAAATCACAAAGTCTGAGAACTAGAACTTGCTTATTTGCTTCTGGGGTTGGTGCCTTTATATAGGCATTGTTTGGTGTGGGCTTCACGCACCATATCTGAGATTTCTGCGAGATCGTCTAAGTGGATCGAGATTCCTGGAGGTAACCGCCATGCATGTTGACCACCCTCTGGATCGTTCGGCACGTGGGCTAACTTCCAAGGATCGTGGGAGTGTTAGGATATACACACCGAATTTGTCGGTGAACACGTCTTGTAGGTCGCCAGGTCAGCGCCTGTGCCAGGCCGCTAGGTCGGCCTGACGACCTAGCCCAGGCCACCAGGTCGCACCTGAGCCAGGCTGCCAGCTCATGCCTATGCCAGACTGCCAACTCGCGCCAGGGCTAGGCCGCCAAGTCACGCCTGTGCTAGGCCGCCCCTATGGTGGGATACCATCAAATTGAATAAGGCAAGTTGTTACCAAAGTGATTCTACGTGTCACCTAGTTGTTCTGAGGTGCCATGCRTCACAATATCATTGGAGGGCCAAATCCACCCTATCACTTAATTTGGATGGAAGACAAATGCAAATATATAAAGTGCAAAACCTTATATTTTGTATTTAGCACTATACATATAAATGCAAATATGTTTAATTTAGGCTCAATTTGTAAAGAGTACAAATACATATACCTAAAGTGCAATACATACAAAATATATAATTTTGTACTACCAATATGTTAGAAATTAATTGTATAAGATTAGGACCCATTATGAGATGGGTCCCACATAAAACAACATTATAGTTTTATTGTGAATATGGCCCAATAGATCTCCTGGTTGGGACCCAAAACGGAAGGACTCAACACTATACTTTGCCATGTGACACTCGAGTGGATGATACTGGATATGGATACCGGGAAGATCAAAGAAAGAAACGCTGCAGAAAGAAAAAAAAAAAAGGAAAAGGGTTCCCAAGTCCCAACAGTTTGCTCTATTCTACATTAATTGTTAATCCGAAACATAGAGCAAACTCTCTTTAGGGTTCTTCTCATTTTCCTTTTCTTTCTTGGCACACTTAGAAATGTAATTTTAAAGCAGAAAACCTTCCCAGAAGGTTATCAAACACGAGAAAATTATCTACCATCTGCTCTCCATCTTCTTCTTTTCTTGCTTTTCTTGCTATATGGTGCACAAAATGATAATGACAGCACAGAAAGAAGAGCTCTTTTCCTCTTTTATTCTCTTGCTCCAATTTTGGGTTCATACCAAGGGCCTCCTTTCTTCATCCTCTTGAGTTTCCAATTTAGTAGTAGTTGTGGGGGTCGTGGATTTTGCCCTGCTGTTGGCGGTGACGGCAGTGGGTCTGCTGTTGTCGGGCAATAGCTTGAGCATGATGCCCATGGCTATGAGCAGCAGTCCTGTTCCATGCTGCTCCGTCAATGGCTTCGTGAATATCAGATACGACAGAAGCAAGGTTACCGCCTTTCTGGCTGTCGTCACCTGCGTAAGAAAAACAAAGAAAATGTTTCATTCATTTCTCACATCAATTCAGAAAGGGCGCAGAGAGGCAATTAAGGACATACCATGGCCGTGGTGGCCGCCCCAAATATGGCGATGAGAGAGAGAACCGAGACTTGGCCCACAAAGGTGGCCATTGCTTCGAATACCAACACGCCGTATACGTAAAGATGCTGCAACCATTTCAATTCAACCCAACCATTACCAACTACATACTACAAACATCATCAGTTGAATCAGAAAACCTTGCAACAGAAGAAATGGATTTAGACTTTGAAAAACCATCATTTTGGCTTTATGACTTCGTGGGCCCCCCTCATGTCCCGTGTCTCACCCACTCTCTTGCCCAGTCAGCGACGCCGGCCGCCGGCGCCCTAATCAGATCAAGAAGTTGGCTGCCTCCTGGCTCCACTCAAAACCAGGGAATGCCATAGGGTCTCAAAACAAACAAATCCACATCGCTCGTGTTTGAAAATTGAAAGAATCAAAAGTTTCTCATGATAACATGGGTGACGTGGCTCTAAAATCCACCATCCAAAGGTGGAGCATCCCTCTCTCCATTTTTTGAGGAGCAAAAGCCCCACTTTCCTCATAATTGAATCATTTCTCTCAAACCCACAAAACAATTCCAATTTCCAAGAGGAGTTCATTAATTGTTCAATTCGCTACATGAATTATGAGATTGAGACCCCCCGCCCAACAACCGTGCCAAGTCTGGGTCCTCTCCTTCACTACAGAGTACAGAGTGCAGACAGGGCGCGTCTGATGTTTCAGTGGTAGTCTGACGAGTGCGTCTCTAAACAACAGAACAAGCAACACGTGGCAAGTTGCTGGGACCTCATGCTACTCCACGCGTCCCATGACCCCTGCCCCCATTAAATGAAGAGAAACTTCTAATATTCTATACTAGGTAAAAGCATCGAAATCAACGAGAGCCAACCTGGCAACCATGGATTTCTCCTAGGTGTCTCTCGTTTGCTACGCGTCAGTCCCACTGCCTACTTAATTACTTCAACAACACTTATCATTAATTAATTCATTAGTAATGAATCCCCTTCTTCCAAACGTTTTTTTTTTTTTAATCTTCTTTTCTAATCTAAGTCTAACCCAAAAAATAATAATCCAGAAAGAAAAAGTCTTGGTTTGGCTTTGGCACCTGAGAGCATGAGTTCCAAGCCTTGAACAGTTCCCCAGTCAAAAGCATAGGTGGGATCAAGAAAGGTAGCCCAACTACGGTCGAGCAGAACAGCATCTCCATCTGATTACATCACAAGTAATACTAATTATTAACAGAAATATATACGATATGATGCTTTTGTGATTGAATGAATTGTTTTCACGTTTACAACAGTTCTAAACTGAAGTGCAGATCACCTGACTGGTCTCGGGATTCATGGTGAAGATTGCTTCTTGCAGGTTACCCAGGAAAGAATCCATGACCAAGGCACCGGTGACCATCACAACACCGATGAGACTGAAGTTTGGCGAGGTCTGAGCATCTGCCAAGGTGAAAAGGATGAGACCCACCACGAGAAGCAGAGCTGAAACATATTCGTGTGCCGGATATTTTCGTCTCAGCCCTGGAATGAAGGCTCCCATTACCATCACTGGAAGTACCTGTAATAATCAGAAGAAACACAAAGCAGATCGTAATGAATTAGTAACCCCTCAATTTTCAATTGGGCAGTTCTGAAAATTCATTAGCTGAAGGCCAATTTCAGTACCTCCTAGGAAGAAGAAAAAAACCATAATTTTAGCTCAAAAAAGGCTAATAACAAGGATGATGCGTGATGAATCAAATGCAGGGGAGTGTACCTTTGTGGATTTGAACATTAGCTGAGCAGGGTAGTTTAGAAAAGCTAGAGACCCTTTGGTTAGTCCATGAGATCCCATGAGAACAGCAGAGAGCTTCACGTATGTCTTCCATGGATTCACCATCTGCTTGGTGGTGAAGCCTTGTAAATATATGAGCGCCAAATAAACGAACCCCTGTACAAAGGTGAAGTACCAACCATAGCTGGAAGAACATGACCAAATATTTGAAATCAGTCATTACCAATATCTATAGGAAAAAAACGAAGAAATGAAAACTTGGGTAGAGAAGAACATTAACGGACCTAAACTGGAGGCGATTATACACGTATTCCTGAAACAGGATAAGAAATCAGTGTTAGAGAAAACCGGAGCAGTACTTATCATTTATTAGAGTTTGAAAATTTTCTCTCTTTTTTTATGAATGAATTTGAAGAGGTGATTTCGTGAAAAAATGTGTTTTACTGGGAAAACATAAGTATTTCAGTCAAATCCTTCGGAATAGCTTGAACAGGGGCTTTCTGATCAATTGCAATAAAGACAATTGGGGGAAACAAACAAGAAAAATGCAAGATCAATGATCCCAATTTATCTCCCGAAATCGTTTCTACAAAATAGTTCTTAAACAGGATTCGGTGATTCTTTCGAAGAAAGAAAGAAGAACCAAAGAGAGAACGATATCTCTGCATAGCTTAACATAAAAAGCATTCAAGACATGGTCAAAACAAACAAACAAACAAACAAACAAAAAAACTGAGCAGAAATGTCAGAACAAAAGTAGATCCTCGTAAGAACTGCAATTCAGGGGAAATTCGTTTAAAAGCTAATATTGAAGAATAAAAAAGGAAAAGAAAGTGTTGAGGGCTGAAAAGAGACCTCGCAGATCCCGTTAACGAGGTAACCGAAGAAGAAACCGGAGGAGCAAATCAGAAATTGTTGCCACTTGGGTCTATCAGTGAGGGAAATCCCGAACAGAAACCGAGCTTGCTCTTCGTTCTTCATCTCTTCTCCACACTCCTCCCCACCGAACGTCCGATTGAGCCAGGTAACAGAGAAGGAGAACACGGGCGAATGATACAGAAGATGCAGAAATGACGATTAGAGCTCCTAAGGTGCATAGCGTTCATTCTTCTGCCTCTGCATGTTGATCAAATAGTAAAAGAGACTCTTTGCTTCCAGGAGCAAACAATGAAGAGAGAGAGGGAAGTTCCCCGGGGCTTAGAAAGAAAAGAAAGCCTCTCTCAGACTCCTCTGCAGATTCTGTTGTAATTGTTTTCGCTTCGTTATATATTATAGATAGATGTCGATACCTTCTACAGAGAACTGAGAAAGGGAGAAGAGAGAGAGAGAGAGAGAGATTTCTATAATTCTGTTTACCGTTTCTACTTCATAAAATGGAGAGAGAGAGAGAGAGAGAGAGAGAGTCAACGGTTAGAAGCTTAGACTGGAGGGAGGTGTTGCGAGGGTAACGATTTCATTGCCATCCCACGGGAGGTACTGTGATCTTCCCTCCTTCACATATTAGGAATATAATAATAATATATGGGCTGCTTAATTAATCAATTTACTCGCGGCGGTGCTTGGATGCATCACGCCCCTATGCACGAGTCTACGTGCCTCCATCTTGGCCGTTTAAGAGGTGGGTCCAACTGTTTCTGTGGTGATCATGATTCATCCGATGGTTTTAAGATGGCCCCAGAGGGAGTGCATCACAGCTGAGAGAATAATAAATTAATAACCTCGTTCCTTGGAAAGATGGTGAGATTGGATCCCAACTCTTTCTGCCACTTTCTATGGAAGCAAATACCACGCTACGCTAGTGAGAGACAGTCAGACAGAGTGTGTGTCTGTATGCGTGTTACTGAATACTGATTATACTGCTTTCGCGCCACGTGGCTAAGTTATTCCTGGTAAAGACCAACAGTTGTCTATAAGAACTTTGGATTCATGGGTGTCTGTCTCACTGTCTGAACCAGTGCCAGTCCATCCCAAATTAGGGTTTTTTTAATGTGAACACATGGGTTAACATTGAGCCATCATTACTTGGGAATGGGCTTGGACCGTATCCTATCTATTTCTAGAGACCCAGGGCCTTGGGGCCACTAAAAAGAAAAACAAAATTAGTTGCTTTGTTAATGAGTTAGGCCCCGTTTGGTTTACAGGGTTAGGTAGAATTTTATCTTATTCTCATTCCTAGTGGAAAGGTCATTCCCTCTCTTTCTTGGAAATGAAATCTGTTGATTGCAATTATCATTCTCATTCTTCAATTCTTATATGAATCAAACATATTATAGGAATAGACCATTTTGATTCGTACAGATCCTTATTCTTCTTTTTTTCTTCTTTAAATGATAGCAAATACCAGCCTGCTTAAATGAAATAAATTGGTAAAATTACCACCAAATACTGGCTTGCTATATCTGATTTTTGTTTTCTCTTAAAAAATGGAAGATTACTAATTCAGTGTTGGGCCATACTGATTGAATGATGGGCCCATAATGATTATAAAACACAGGAAACAAAGAGTGCATGTCGATTACTTGGGCTCCGTTAGTTTGCAATGCAATTTCATTAGCACTGATACAAATGCATGGGAGGGATGCAAATTCTGGTTTTTTTTTTCTTTTTTTTTTTTTGAGTTCTCAAGTTTTACATTACTTCATCTGCAATGCAAAAGCTGAAAGAAAGATAAATTTACACTCAAATCATTTGCATCTGCATATATTTACACCAATACAAATGAAATTGCACGAAAAGAAAAAACTAAGCATTGATTTCATTGTGGAAAATAGTAGCACCCTTCTTCTAAATTTTGATTTATATCCAACTAATGAAACCATTTTAGACATGATTTCAAATAATGAGGAAATTTGAAACTAGTATCCCTACTGGGCTGGGGCTGAGCGGATCTCAAGCCTGTAATTTGTATTATTCATTGGACTTGACCCAGTTGTAGGAATGAAGCCCAACTGACTTTGTCTTGAAATCTTGGGCCACCAGAACTAACTTATTATTTTAAATAGTGTCTGAATCTATGACAGCTCGGCTGGAGTTAGTCACCAAAAAAGGATTTCCAACTGGCACCAGCAACACCACTCGAGCTTCAGAGTTAAGAGTAGCTCCGCTTACTTTAATGGCAAAGGTGGCTTGTCAATATCGAATTAACTTCTCTCTCTCCCTCTGGCTTTTATGGGTATGGCAAGCTTGGTACTAAACAATTTTATTTCATGGAAATATTATCAATTATAATTCATATATTCATATCACTGTGTGATCTGTAATCCATGAGAGAAAGAGAGAACCATGTTTCACCTAGTTTGTGAATGTTCATTCTTTATTAGAGATTTTATAACATCAACAACCGCACGGGCTGTCACCACAACCTACCTCAACATTCACCAAGATTGGTTAACTTATAATCTTTCTCATTCAAATCTTCAATTGCGTACTTAATTGTGCTATGTCACATGGAAAACAAGGAAGCAGTAGTGTCTCTTTCAAGGAGTTATGGCCGATTTGGCTACAATATTACACCCTTGAACAATATTGGTTTGATGTTGACCCTCTTTGCAGGAAAGCCTTGCATGTTCAAAGTATATGCATGCTAATAAAGTGGCCACCTCTTCACCTATAGAATAAATTTTAGGGTTTAAAATAATAGCCAGATGTCCTACCTCTCAGAATTTAGTGTATCGGTGAGCCTAAACCATGGCTGGAGACAAATCTCAACAAGAATGGGTCAAAATTAATAGGCAACCCGAGCATGGTTACTGTGGGGGTCGTGACTCGACTGTGGGGAATTTGCTGTGGTTTCCTGTTGGTATGGGACAAAAGATATTTCCTTCTTCTTTTCTCCTTTTCTTTTTCGCAGGAGCCACGCCATGCATGGGATTTGTTATAAACTGACATCCAAAATAAGTTATAGTTTTAACATCTCTATTTCATGAAATAAATTAAAGGGGTGTATTTGCATATTGATTTGAAAGTTGAAAGGGGATTTTTGCTGTTTTGCATCAATCAAAACTTAAGCTCAATTTGGAATGAGTACAAAGAGTGCAAAACCTWGTATTTTGTATGTATTTGTATTTATACTCTTTCCAAACGGAGTCTTAGGGGAGAGATGGTGTAAATTGGAATTCTATGTTTTATCTAATTCATGGTGTCAGGCTATTCTCAATGACGACAGTAATACAAATCTCCAAATCCTAAAAGTATTTCTGAAAATCGTAAAAGTACTCTTTTATTTATATAACCTTAATATCCCCTATATTATTCAAATACTTCCGCTGSCCATGGAACTAACTCATTAATATCCCTATCCCCTTCCAAGAAGAAAAAATTGACCCGCTCATCTCAAAGAAGAAAATTATAAACAAATTGAATGGTTGATAGAAATTCGTTCAAGATAAATCGGATATGGCTGGCCTACAAAACTTAAAATCGTGTATTAATAATTGATAATGGATTTGTTTATAAAAGTGCTTGACGAAACTTTTTGTATAAAATTGGCTTGTGTATTTAAGGTTATTTAATAGTTCTGTTGAGGTTGGGGATGAGATGGTGAGGCCTATAACGACTTATTTTAACTCTTCGCAACCTACAAAATAGATTAGGGATTTAGTATTGGATCAATCAAAAGCATTGAAAGAGAACAAAATCGACTGGTTAACAACTACAGGCTCAATGTACTAAATGAGAAATATTCGATCTGATTGCAAGATGCTAGGGAATAAATAAATGAAAAGCTACGTTGTCTTAGGTATTGAATTTATTCTCCCTAATAAGAAGACATCTCAACCTTAGTTCTTCCTCTGTAAAATGCAGGTCCACAAAGATCACTGGACCACTAAGCCTGAAGAGGTAGGTAGGTATTTGGTATAATAGCAACAGCCAGCAGCCTGTTTTTGTTAAATCTGAGTTTAGGTTGGAGATCTCTCTAAAGTCTGAAATCTAACCTGGCAAGGAATCGCTAGCTCCAAACCCGCTGGCTTGAATTTCAACTGATTTTAGTTGGGATATTATCCACTGTTCATAATTGAGTCTTGAATTGAAAAAAGAAGGGGAAGGTTGGTAAGGTTTCTGGCTGGTGTGTTGTATAAAATTAAATCGGCACCCCACAGCACCTCCCAGCCGTGTATAGGGAATATCTCCCCATGATAAGTACGGAAGGTTCTCAGTGCATGATGAGATGTGCATGTGGGGCATTTATGGGGCGTCAATGTGATTCCGTGCTTTGTCCAAAAAAAAATAAGGCATTTCACACACAACGATCTAATAAATGGTTTATGCATCCATAATTCAATAATGGATATTGCACTGAATAACTCTGAATGGCGAAACAGGATTCATGTAGCTGATCCATATACATGGGACAAGGTTTAGGGGCTTAAGCCCAACCAAAATCAATCAGATATGGCCTGCAGTGGGTTTCCTATCTATTAAGGTCAAGGTAGAGCGCTCACATCTGTTACCCCATCTACTCCTACCAACAAGACATTACAACCACACATTGGGAATATGTCCACATGAATGAATGATAAGTTGCGAATGTGTGGCACAAGTTCTGGATTTGGTTTTAAGCCCCATTCAAGTTAAGGATAGATGCTCGTTTGGGTTACATACACGTTCTTTTGTACATTCCGAAAGGGTTCAATTTACAAGATCTATGACCAGTTTACAAKTACTGATTATGATTCATCAATGGAAGAGAGATAGAGAGAGAGAGAGAGGGAGAGGTGTCTATGTTGCTTGATAAAAGTACTACACCAGACACCCACCATCAGGAATACTTTCCAGGGCTTGATATGTAAAAGAATGGGAACCCAGTTTCTGTGGAGTGTGGGTGTAGTTGGGTGATATACAACAGCTAACAGGTGAAAGCTTGTCAAAGCTTTGCATGTTACAGCTCCGGTTCCTTGTTGGCCACTGACTTTTTTCGAGTCTGAATTTAGATATCAGAAGCCTGCGTGAAAGTTCAGTTTTTCTTCATTGGAACGATAATGCACGTATGGGTTCAAGGCCCAATAACCTGCAATGAGATCTTGGGTCGTTTAGGCTATATTTGGTTTGAAGGAAAAGGTAGGGTAAAAGAAGGGAAAGACAAGGAAAAGGTTTGGGTTGTAAAGGTTTCCCTACCTTTCCCTTCCTTTCCTTAGGTTTTCCTTCAAACCAAATAGCATTAGTGAATCCCATAAATCTACACGACTAGCAAGAAGACCTGGGCCTGGGCCTGGGCTTCCCTATTTCGTCCGCCTAAGACCACCATACTCATGCGACATTATGACATGTGGTCTCAATGTAGGGATAAGTCTAGTGCCTTGCCCTTCCCCCAGCTAAAAAATTTCTTATGCCTTCGATACCGTGAAAATGGATCCAAGTATTAGAATATTAACATATAGAGATTGCAATGGTTGCAAACTTTGCARTTAGGTAGGGCGACTGACAATCTTGCCAAGGTTTTATCCTACAGAGCTGCCCAAGACCAAGAAAGCCCAAAGGGGAAGGGTAAACATATCAAAGCCCAATCAGGCCCAGTCTAGGAATTGACGTTTATCATGTCTTTATTGTAATTAATGTATATTTATACACGTAGTCATGTATATATGATAGTATATTCAGTACAACTTAGAAAAGAAGTATAAATAACATTTTTATTTTTATCCATTATAAAGTAGTGGAAATATTAAAAAGAAATAAAATAAAAAGCTTTTAGCTGTAATGGATGCAAACATGAATTTCAATAAAACATATGCTTTTTTTTATAAAAAGCCCACTTGAATGCAAATTTACTTCTTTTTTTATTAATGTATTTTTACATCTTATTATCAATGTAAATATGTATCGATCTATCATTAGTCAATGCATAAATGTAATATTGTCAAATACAAGCAAAAGTGAACCAGAGTGCAAATTTATCCTGAACCGAGATTTACATTCTATTTGCATCGTTATTGACAAACCTTGTTGCAATGGTCTGGTTTTGTGCCTTTTGGCCACAAGCACTGTACACTCTTATCATATAACAGAGAATGGGCCTAGACCCTTCTTAACCGAACCTACAACTCAATTTATTGGGAATTTAGAAACAAAACAAATTAATCAACTATAAATCTATAATTTCTTTTGGAAGCCGGTACCATTAGTAACTTAGCATATTTAGCATCCTTGATTTTTTATGGGCATGGAAATGCCAGCTTATAACAGCTCATTCAGCCTCCAACTTGGCCCAAACTGACCCATGACTGTGATGGGCAAACCAGCCTGGACTCGGTTAGAATCCAGATTTTGTCTTCACAAATTTGGTCTTTACATCCTGATTACAACATTTTCAGCCGTTCATTGGGAACTAGGAGTGTTCCTTATACAGTCTAAACTGTCAAACCACACCGAACCAAACAGTAATTGGTAGTTTGGTCTGGTTTGGCCTTTGATTTGGTTTGAGAATTTCTAAAATCGTTTTTTTTTGTTTAGTTTGGTTTTTTAAATTTTAGAAACCAAACCAAATCGTAAACTATATTAAACCAAATTATTAATTATATATTTATTAATGCATGTATGTATGTATGTATGTATGTATGTATGTATGTATGTATGTATGTATGTATGTATGTATGTATGTATGTATGTATGTATGTATGTATGTATAGAACTTCATATATTATGGTTGTTTGTTTTAATTTTTTACTTGCAAGTTGATGCCCAAGACGTTATTTATGTTTGAGAAAGTGTGAATGTAATTTATATAATGGTAATAAGTGATAGTTGGGCTTAGTTTGGAAGGAGTACAAATACAATTATGTACAATGCAAATGCATGCAAAATTTTACAAAATACAAAGCTTTGCACTCTATATATTTGTATTTTTACTCCTTCCAAACTCAGTTTTGTTGACATTTAAATTTAATATTTGAATTATATTCGTTATTTTATGTAGGCATGCATGTTATTTAGGCTTTCTAATTGGGTTAAGCCGAATAGAATGGCCCAAACTGTATTACAAACTGGACCAAACCATAATAGAACAGTTTGATCTGATTTGGTTTCTATACTAAAATGGTTGGATTTGGTTTAAGAATTTTTCAAATCATAATTTATTGTTTGGTCCAAGATCTTCTCCAGACCAGACTGTGTATAACCCTATTGGGAACATCTTCGCATGAACGAAAACATACAAGTACTGAGATGTTAATGCACAGTTGCAAGTGTTGTGATTACGGTGTGAGAACTGAGAACCAATTTTATGAGAAAGAAATCCGATCTATCTCTCAGTTTATGCACATAATTGGCCAAACAATCTAGCATAAATATTAGATGTAATACTTTGCTTTCTTGGAATTTGTCGCAAGTCATCTCTTCTCTTTTCTAATCTGTGCCAAGGCAGTGAGCCCATTTCCTTGGTGTGAAAAGTGGGTCAAGCAGAAAGAACAAGACGATGAAGAAGTTAAATAAAAGATAAAATATATATATTTAGCTTTGGGTTTTCAAAGTAGTATATCGTTTCCACTTTTCACCTACCCATCCCAAAAATGAAGAAACCTGAAGAACATTGCCACAATCCACTGACAGTGGTTGTAGAGCCCTGCTTGTTCCCTTGAGCACTGAGTTGGTGCTTCGGGTTTTGTTACCTAGTCTGTTCCCTGTATGGTAGGATTCTTTTGATTAAGGAAAAGAAAATGGTTTTGTTGACTGGTTGGATCTCTTAAGACAAGAGATCAAGCAACAGCTCGTCTACCAAAGATCCCCAAACCTTAATTTCCATCTCCGCAGCAAGCTCCCTTTGTTCCTCCTCAAGCTTCTTCCACTGTCCTCCACTCTCCATTTCTCTGACACACACCGACCTGTCATCCCCAAACCCCCGTCCCAATTCATATTGTTTCTTCCCATCCACCCAATCTCTTGCCACCTTCAACAACTCGCATTCAAATTCATCTCCTTCTTCTGCTTGAGTTCTACCCATGATTCCATTTCTAAAGAAGTCTAKCAGAACATGTTCCATACTTGCTTTTCGGTTCTGTAATTGGCTCGATGCTTTGATATGCTTATTGAACAATCGCATTGCTCTTTCCTCTGCCTCAATTGCTTCTTCGTCTTCCTCAATTCTTTGGTATGCCGTGTCATCGTGAACAGAGATTGAGAAAGAGTCGCTGGCGCACTCCACCGAGTCATCGAGCTCCGCCAAGGCAATTCGTTGCTCTAGCTCGACTGGTTCCAGTTGAGCAAAGATCTCGAACCGTCGAATCTTCTGCATAAGCTTCTGTTTTGCCCCTGTACATAAAAGACTCTTACGTCAACCTAAAATCCATATTCTAATCCATGGCATCATTGATCTCATTGCTACCATTTCATCATTTTCATGGTCCCCACTACAAGATCCCCATAAAAGAATTCGTGAAGATATGACTATGTGATCATCACTGAAATACTAATGTCATTAGTTCATTCTTCTCGGGGATTGAAGGAAAAATTAGTTAATGGATAAAGAAGCTCACATGATTCTGCATTTTGGCCTTGGGTGGCACCCTTTAATGTTCATGCTATAATTAATTAATTAATTAATAAAAGAGAGAGAGGGAAGATCGAGTGACGTACAGTCCATGTTTGAAAGACTCTGGTTAGAGGACGAATGGGTCTCAGTATCTTCATCTTCTTCTTCGAATGGGAAATCAAGCACTGAAACAGGGCTGAACTGCTCTTTCTCCTCGTACTGGCACGCACTCTGTTATTTACAGAAAGAAAAAATGTCAGACAAGTGGGAACTACTACAGCTGCTAAAAGCCTGAAACATAACCATAAACCACCAAAGAAAGAAAAGGAACAATGTTTCGAGTAAAGCCTGATCCATGCAAAATCCAGTGGGTTGGATTCTTTTTTTCTTTTTTAATTTTAGAATCTGACAGGAAGAGCTACAGAATTGTAGTTTCAGTGCGAGGAAAAAAAGAAGCAAAACTGTTGGATATCAGAATATTTTATTATCTCCATTGGCATTCAAAACTCCACAAACTTACAGTCTTTTTTTGGCAACTACAGTCTGTACAGTCTTGATGTTAGAGCCCTGATAGATCCATGTCTATATAATTAATTATAAAAAGCCGACGCCAAATAGTTCAAGGCAGAAATCACTTCAATCAGCGAATCCCATCAGAGATACAGACACACAGAGCAAAAAATAGTTAACAAATCAAACGGTTGAGCTCGTCCCAACCAAATCCAGATCTATAGGTTGGTCAGCGAGGGGCCACAGGTAAGGCCTAACAGTTGGATCTGGGTCTTGTCTTGACGTCTTGTCCTCTCTAATTTTGTTCTAATCGGTTCTATCAAATGTTTAATTAGAGCAATATCACAGAAGCTTCTTCTAAGATTAATTAACTAACTATAATTAAAGTAAGATGACACCAAACTTTTCCCTATTTTACGTAATTACAGAGGTCCATAAGCAAATCAAACCATGTAAATCAAAAACATCAGGTCCAGGTGCTCTCTAGTCTCAACTGTAAAACAATAAAGAATTTCTTTTTGGTTTAAGAGAATTTTAACCAACGGTGTGACCGAAATCAAGGAAGGGAAGAAAAGAAATCGAAGAGCTTAATACTCAAAACTGTATGAAGCCATCGGCGTTCTTCAGTCTTCACCCACCGACAGAGATGGTGGCGGAGAGAATAAAGGTTGAATTACAAGAGTACCCTCCTACTTTTTTTAATTAATATGACCAACAACCTGTCTCCCTTGACGATGAAGACGAATTCATTAGGGGGGCGTGAAAAGCTGAGATACTGATTTTAAAATGTTGTCTCTTGTAACAATAAAATTAATAGTCTCGCGAGTTTCGCCGCCGTGGATCCCGCATCCAGACAGACAGGCTGCAGGATACTTGGCTTTAAGAGTACTTGGGACCCACGACACAGTTTCTTTTGGTAATCCGAGATGTACCTTATATTTTCAATAGTAAAGAAATACTGCACACGTGAATGCCTTGGCAGACCAGCTGCCTCCTCCTTTCTTCCCTAGTTATTTTCGGAAGATAAAACTAAAAGAAATAGTGGAAAACAGAAAACAAGGGAAGGGATCATGAGAAAGAGGATTCAGGATTGCTTGAATTACGAAAATGTCCTTGAACTACCAGAACGATTCGAGGACTGAATTGTTAAACAAATTAGACAGTGAACAATAGAAGTCGAATCTAAAAACGGGAAGCTTGAACAAACGTATCAAATTCAAAGCAGGTCTCACCAGCACCAGCAGACAGAGAAAATATTTTTTGCATGCGAAGCATTAAATAATAGCTCACCTTAGCATCTACAGAGTAGGTAGTTGTTGTCTCCATGGAACCCTCACCGGCTTTGTTGTTGAAAGTCTGCTTCTCCGACGATAAGCATCTTTTACTATCTTCACCGTCTGTTTCACCCAAACACTCAGAACTAACGCTGGATGACTGTAAATAATCCGACGTGAAATCGCTATCAGCCCAACTGTTACTACTACTGGTTATGCTGGATGAGGTGGTGGTGGTGGTGGTAGTGGTGGTAGTTCTGGGGAGAGGAGAAGAAGATAAACACAACGGTTTCGCCTTCTCGTTTAGAGGAGTGGGAGAGAAATCCGAGGGTTTCTCGCTGTCTTCGATTAAATCTCGAAATGATTTCCACCGTAGAATGTCTTTAACCCTAACAGTGACAATGATCTCGTGTTCTTCTTTGTCGGTCTTTCTCCAGAAACTCCGTCTCAATCTCCGGGAGATGCTTCTCGGTAGGATCCCCACCTTAGGCCGGTTTTGCGGCTGCGTTGACGGAGACTTATTAATAGGGGAGAATGGGAAGTACTTTACGGCGGCAAGCACGGCCTCTGATGCCTTATGTAATGCAGAAATTGTCGTCGAAGCAGCCTTCGACCGACTTCTGACTAATCTTCGCCTTTGACTGGATTCCCTGGATTTGAAATCTATGTCGAGAAGATTTCGAACTGTAGTACAGCATGAACGTCGAGGATAGGATTGAAAGCCATTCGACGAGCATGAATTCAGATCGTCTCTGAGAAAATCTTTCAGCATCGGAGGTCTCTTGTCGATAAGAAAAGGTTTCCTCCGTATCGACTCGCTGATTGGGCCAGAACGCAACGAAGCCATGTCTTCGAGGAATTACAAACTTAGAGAAGAAAGGAAACTGGAAGAAAGTTTACCTTAGAATAGTGATATTGTTCTGGATCGATCTATGGAGATCTAGAGGGGTGATGAGGAAGCAAGCAATCAAGAGAAACGGAAATGCTGAAAGGTTTGAAAGACTGAAACGCTTATTTTTAAGAAGAGTGTTCCAGTTTTCAGTAATTAGCATTTAAGATAAAACGACTGTTAGTGTAAGAGATTAATTCACCTTCAGAAACTTCAGAATTTCCTTGGAAACTTGGCGACTTTGGCAGCTTTACTCATCTGTGGTCAACAGAATCTATAAAAATCATAGGAAGCCAGAAACAGAAAGTAGCTCGAGAGAGAAGAAAAACAGAGGATTATATAGAAGGAAGAATGGAGATAACCTTGAGAGAGAGAGAGAGAGAAGTGAAATACTGAAGTGAAAGGAGAACTTATAAAGGTAGGGATTTGGAATGAAAAAATGGTGAAAATGAAGGAGAGAGGTAGCTTCTGAGCTGAGGTGAAGATCTCCAAGCAGGAAATCCAGTTGATGAAGCTCTGTAGAGAAACACAGACAGAGACGCAGAAGCGTGGATGCTTCTTCTTAAGGTTTGAATATTAACTGTAGCTATTTTTTTATTTTTTCTTTTTTGTTTGTAGCGCCACGTCGGATAATTAGAGATCTTTACGATCTTARCTTTTTAGACTTGGGAGACCGGTATGGCGGTATGTCGCGGACAAAAGTTAGAAACTATTTTGACCTAGGTAATGAGCCACGTGGATCATATCAGAAGGTTGCTCAACCACTCCTGATCTCTCACCCAACCAACGGTGCCTGATTTGCCAAGGAAAATCTCATCAACAATACACATGCCGCCACGTCTGCATCGTATCGGAGACATTGTGGAAATAATTTAAAATGAAGGTTTTTGGGTTTGTAGCAGCGCATGCGCGATCAGATCAGTTATGATATCCCCCATTTATGCGTTCAATCAATTTTAACTTTTTGAACTTGTCGTTGCTCCCGCCTTATGCCACGCGCTGGCAAACCATTGGAAGTAGACACGTGTCGGACGATTAGACGCCCAATTCTGGGGCCCGTACACAAGAGCGGATCCGATGTTGCATTGGTTTCAAGTTGCCAGTGGGCTAGTCGAGGAATCCGTGCGCTCATGTCGGCTCTCCCTCCACACTCAGCGCAGGGTTTGAATCTCATCCTTATTGGGGGAAAGGAAAATGGAAAATATTCGTATATTCCCTTCTTCTCTTTCGTTGTTATGAAAGCAACATGGGCCCACTTTCTCCCACATCCTGCAAATCCATACCGTCCAATCAAACTGGGATGCTGTGTGTGTAAATTGTTTCGATTTATTTTTAATGAAGATCAGATAATCACGTGATTAAGAGCACGATTATAGGATTAAGTGGATGTGGATTGGGTACAGTGATTATGATGGTTGCATAAATAAAGTCTGTGGGGGTCCAGTTGCTTTCAAGGAACAGAGATGTAAATAAAGAAAGAAAAAGAAAGCAGATTACAAATACGTGACCCATGGATCTTCGCCACTGGTGGTGGTATACTGGTATTGGGCCCCCATTCTGTCAGAAAAGCTGAGCTGGTCTCTAGGATTATATATGGGCGTGGGCTTTCATGAATTTAATTGAGATCCATCGTAAATTTGTTCAATTAAAACTGAACTCCAAGGAAGGACCCAGACCCAGAGAGAGATCAGGAAGGATTAGCAGGTGAGGACTTACGTGAATGGCGCGCACGTACGTACTATTGAAGAAAGCAAAAGCATCTCCATTTACTTAAAATGTGGAGGAATTAAACAGAAAAGTTAAGGTTACAGTAGACCAATGAAAGTAGAAAAGTTAAGGTTACCCCAGACCAATGAAAGTAAAGAGGAAAAGGAGAGTTCATTTTAGCCTTAGGCATGGAGAATGGAGTTGGGGGGGCAACTAAAAGCTAATGTAGGCTCAACTTTAGTGGTTGTGAACAAAGACTGCCCGTGAAGGTAGTTGTACAGTATAACACAGAAACCAATGCATCATGATATTTTGAAAATTTAAAATCCGAAATAAACCCATACCCAGAGCTTACTTTAATGGAAACAAGATCTTGCAATTATCAAAAGAAAGGTGATTGCCTATCTTGACAATGTCATTCAGTTTATTGTCATTTAGATTTTATCCTTTCAAAGAGAGAGAGAGATTTCATGTTGGATATGTTAAGTCACCTAATAGATTTATGGAGTCATATTTTCATTACAAAATTAAGCTCAGGTATGAAAGGACCTGAATCTTCTCTTGGGTACGTGCTTGATGGTATTAAAGAATAAAAACCCATTTAGGGACCTCATCTATTAGGGTGAATGGTTCCTTGATCAATCTAGTGTATGAGAAGATTCTTGTTAATCCATTATAATTAATTAAATTTCAGTAGTGTATGAGTGGGTCTGTACTTATCTATGCTTCAAGCCTATGTGCCTTTTTGTGTAAGACGGAGTCCCAACAGGTCCGGCCGAAGTCCCAACCATCTTAGGTCTTGGGAGAGTGGGCTGGATGTGGACCTGACCTTTGCATTTGTCGCACAATATGTCTCCACTCAAACATGACCTGCATTCTCACACTTCTCAACCTGAGATTTTATCACTCAGTTAGCAATGACCCCTTTGTGGGCTTACAAAATCATGGAAGTAAGTGTTCCCCTCACACAATGAATAGATGTAAATTGGTAATTAAGACTTAGTTTGGAAGGAGTATAAATACAAATATGTATACTATAAATTCATACAAAATATAAGGTTTTGCGCTCTACATATTTGTATTTGCACTCCTTCCAAATGGAACCTAATGCTCAATTAGTTTGGAAGAAGTACAAATACAAATTTATAGAGTATAAAACCTTGTATTTTAGGTTTCAGCAAGCTAGGACGATCCAAAAACCAATTTCTTTCTATTTGGTAACTAAAAGCTAGTAAAACCAAAAGATGCATGTGTTGAAATACCCAAAAAAGACGGAAAACGTTGAATTTCACATGATAAATAGCTAGACTGAGCCACTTGCCAAACCCCAAAAAATATCTTTTGATTATCTGAACTATTGGATGATCTTTTTAAAAAACTAAAAAAGACTTGCCGTATCTATTTTCATACAACAACCAGTAAATAGAACAAGGAAAGTTGACCACCAGTTAGCTGCTTGGTTGTCCACTGCAGCGTGTGTGGTAATTGCTAATATTTTCATTTGCAATTGAAGAGATTAAGGCTGTATTTGGCACGTTATTAAAAAATCAATCGTAGTGAATTTTGTGGTTCTAAAAATTAGGTTTCAATTTATGAGAATTGTTAGAACTAATTCTCTTTTTTGGCTTAAAACTCAATTGAGACTTGATTCTTTGAAGCTAAAAACCTAGAAATAGAATGTCCTCTTCTACCCGCCCTATATTGATAGAAAAGGATTGCTAAGCCAACTTTTGTGAGTAGCACTCGATGCTTACCCTTACAACAAATTGTAGTGTTTACAGGTGTCCATATATAAAGTGATGTAATTACCATAACACCCCTATGTAGAAAACAAAAGCAACCTTGACATGGAGAAAAGTAAATGCAACGATGAGAGTAGGGGTGGCTACAAGCCGAGCTCTTCACAAGCTACTTGAGCTCGACTTTGTTTGGTTTCAATTGAGTTTTGAGCTAAGCTCGAGCCCAATTTATAGGCTCGTTTATTAATCGAGCCAAGCTCTAATAGCTATATACATACATATAATAATAATAATATAGAAAATTATAGAAAATAATATATATATAATATTTTTATTTTTATAACTAATTATTATAATTCTTAATTTTTTTAAATATCAAATAAAAAATATTTTTATATATTACTTTTTATTTTTATAAAACATTTTTCTCAAGTCGAACTCGAGTCGAGCTGAGCTCGAGCTTACGAGTTTTTGACTTGAGCCGAACTCAACGTCAAAGTTCTAGCTCGAGCCCCGTACTACCTTGGTGAGCCGAGCTATTCGAGCTCGGCTCGAATCCACCCCTAGATGAGAGTACATCTATATTTTTAGGGTAAAATACAAAAACCTTCCCTATTGGAGAAGATTCCATCATAGATGTTGATCTGCATTGTCTTGTCAAGATAAACAACAATAGTTGTGCTCACAAACAATTGGGTGCAATCACCTATGAGCTCTTTGCACTTGTCACTATAGACCACACTAGCCTATCTCAGGAGGGATATGGAATCATATCCAATACGGGAAACACTCTCTTGTATTTGGAGGCGAACCACCTAAAGACTGGAGATTAGAGAAGAAAGCCAAGACCAAGCTCCTAGCAAAGCTCAACGACAACAGAGATGCAAAACCCGACCAAGCCGTAGTGAAAAGCTTATCATCCTTGCTTCAAAACGGTAACCTCACAAAAATCCCATGGTCAGAGCTTGTGTGACCCTTACCAGTGACTCTGAGAATTCTATTTTGAAAACGTTCTTATGTATAAGTCATCAATCTAACGGAGAAACCAAGTACTCAATTGATACTCAGATAGTCATTTCACTTAAGTTTCAATATCCAAAATTTAAAACCTAATTAGGAGAAAAGAAAAAAAAATGAGTAGCAGTTCCGGTTACCATACATTAGTAAATCTAAACTATAGGCACGACAACACCACTAGCCTCCTTGATCTTCTTCTCTGCAATCTTGGATACGACCTTGATCTTCACGACGATGGGCTGAGTAACCGAACTAGGTAACATTGATGAGGGGAACATTATTGGTGGAGGCCTTCTCCTTGACATCTTAAGGCTAGGGATCATAAACCAGAGCTTGTTGATGTTGACAATGGAGCAATAGAACTTGTTGTGAAGCTTATAGAAGTAACGTATACCCACCTTACCCAAGCAACTTGTAAAAATAGGGGATGGAAGGAAAAAAAAGTAATCTAAGAGTTTCATTCATTTGGCTTAAATAGATACAAGATAAGAATCTAGAAATTCAAGAAAGGCAGGGCCACGGGCAAATGCCACATGGTAGTTTGGTACAATCGAACAACGATTACGGTTATGTACAAACTGTAATATGCCCCCTCAAGTTGGAGCATGGCTACAGATAATGCCCAACTTGGATAGAGCTATACCGAATTGATCTTTCCCTAGAGCCTTAGTGAAGATGTTGGCCGGCTAATTCTTTGTAGGAAGGTGGGAAGTGACAATGAGTTCTGATTGAAGGTGATGTTTGATGAAGTGGTAGTCAATTTCAATGTTCTTGGTGCGCTCATGGAAAACTGGATTTGTTGCTATGTGAAGCACCGCCTTATTATCGTAGTACAGCTCCATGGGTTGATGATGTTGCAGGCCTAAATCTCTAAAAAGCTGATGAAGCCACAAAAATTCACTAATAGTCACTGCCATGGAGCGGTATTCGGCTTCCGCTGAGGAGTGGGATACTGTACTTTGCTTCTTTGATTTCCATGACAAGGGAGAATGACCAAGAGTGATGAAGTATCCTGTTGTAGATCATCGGGTAAATGGACACCCTGCCCAATTAGAACCGCA